CGAATATTAATCTCTTGATTAAAAATAGAACACGTCAGAGTAACTCACTTTTGTTCAAAAACAAAAGATACAGAGTCAATAATGTCAAAACTATACTGGTGCCCGAATATTTTCTTGACTGACTGTATTGAGCGATGATTTTGTAGTTGTTTTTTTTCGGAGCAGATTCGTTAGCAAATCGAGGAAGGATTTACAAATTAACAACGAAGATAGTTGTCGGAAGCGCCGACTATAATTTGGGAATACCCAATTGCCTCGTAACGCTCGAGAGATTCACGGAAATTGGGGCGAGTAACCCTGAATACCCCGTGAAGCTCGCTCTCTCGAGGCAACCAAGGAGAACTGGTTTCGAACTCGTCATCGTCACCTAGCGTTCACGATACAACATTCCAAAATAAAACACCGAATAATCGGATGGCTCTGGCTATAGCAAAACTATTCGAAAGTCCACGTGTCTGTCAAAAAAAATTGGCGAATGACCAGCCTTGAAACAAATGATGAGCTTCATAACGTGCTTCAACTGGAATTCAAATTGCTCCTTGTTACTTGGTCGGAGCTGTAATGAATGTTCAAAGACTTCAAGCTGCACGGAAGGAAGGCGACAGCAGTGTTTAACACTTGTTACATAAATAATAGTTGTGTCGGGAGTATTACAAAAAGCGTAAAAATTTTAATAGAAAATAAATTATAGTACAAGTGGATTAAAAAAGTAGAAAACTTGTTAATATCAAACTTGCGATCTAATTAAAACGTAAACTCGTTTTCTCTTTTTTTAGATCGTGACATGCAAAGTTTTTCCTTGTAACCACGGATTTAAGGGACAGTCCTGCGGCCGGAGTTTCCCTCGGCAAGACTCCCTCGTTATAATCTGCCGCTGCGAGCCTCTAGTTTGAAGACACTTTAGAGCACGAGGAAGAGATAGGTAGCAGCGCACCAGCAGCTCGGAGCCGCTCACAGCTAAATATATTCTCTCTCTCTAGAGTTACTCAAGGTCACAGCGCTCGGATTGGCCCACGATAAAGCGTAGCTCCGCGCCCGTCCCTCGGCCGACTGGCCTTATGCTCCATCCGCACACGTTCCGCCGCGCGCCGTGGCCCACATGTCACTTCGCGACAATGTCGTGTAGCAACCGCATCGAGAACACGTGTTCGAATCGAACGCAGCCATAGCTCCGCATGCAAAGCGTATTTCAACCGCGATAGTGCCAGTCACGCTCCCTTTTGATCTCCCTCATTGTTTCCTACCATCGGTTGCGTTTTAAATCCACCGAGATCGCAGCATTTAAACTTCGCGTACAGTTACAGGCTTCTCAAGAACACGCACCGTAAGGTCTTGGTATATTTAACGACGCCTTTCTTATTAATAACTGTTTTTGCTATTGCTTTTCATCTTCGTGTTGCGATCGAGTATAGGTAACGAGAAAATTCCGCTGCAAGTGACTTTTGTATTCGTGATCATTGATACGGAAACAGATCACGCGTACACGGTATTAAATTTGTATACGTCAGTGATGGTTGAAACTTTATTCGAATATCTACGCAACGAATGAAAAATCTATGTACAGCAATTTATTCGTGACCCGTATTCGATCGATTCTTTCGAATTTTAATTTCTATTTCGCGAAACTTTTACACGAACAGAAATTAGAAAAGTAAATATTCTATTGTGACCCGCGGCAACGTAACAATGAACGGGGCTTCTGTACGCGCGTGACGTTATTACTAGTCTACGAACACGCACGAACTTCCGGGTAAAACGTAGACACGAAAGAGAGTGTGACCTGTTGCTGACGACAAATAATTAACAGGTTACGAGCTGCTCTTTAGAAGCAACCGACGGAAAAGCCTAGAATCTATAGAACATATGTTCCGTGATGTACGCGGTGTCGCGTCCGGTATGTTGCCAACAATGGCGTAGCCTTAAATTCATGCGAACTGCATCGTAAAACTGGATTACCATATTTCTTCGATCTTTCGCGTATTTTTTTTTTTTAATTTAAAACGCTATCCATTAATATTTTTTATGTGCCCAACGAACTATCGAAGAAAAGTAAATGTTAAACGGCTTCAATAATATGAATAATGGCTATTGAAAGATGGCAATAAATTCTCGTTCGAACGAGACGGTATATATATATATGTATATATATGTATATATATATACATTGAGAGGCATATTCAAGGATAGTTTCGGCGCTTTTGAAAACCGCTCATTCAATTTAGAGAGGGCTGTTCTGCGGTTCGGCGCTGCTGATAACAAAACCGAGCCGCGCTCGTTCTGCAGCTGAATTTGAGGTTAGGTTATTGTCCGGGTGTGCGGTAAGCATCGATAACGGCGCGTTGCAACCGCGCGTCCTGGCAATACGATCTGGCAACCCTGCAGCGGACGGCAGTGCCGGGGTTGAATTTCAAGCGCCCGAGGGACAGAGGGGGTCGGGCCTCTCTCTTTTGTATAAGGGGCACGAGGGCTTCACCGATGCTCGGCACATAACGGTGAGTCGATGGCCATGATGCGGGGCTTACAGCCGGCTGCCTGGTTCTGTTGCCTGCTAAAGCGATTCAGAAGAAAACCGGCCTTTCTCTTCGTCTTCCCCTTCTGTCTGTCCCCCGTAACATTACCCGCAACTTGCTCTAGGCCTACGGGGTTGAGTCCCAGTAATCGCTCGTTTCTCACCACCGAATATTCCCCCGCGTATTAATTACGAGATCCTCCACTCCCTACGGACATTTAAAATCGCGTAAATGGCAAATTTCCGAGGCTAAGCTACGATCGAAACCGCGCAAGTCTTTTGTTTCGTCGAACATTTCAGTTTTCATGTGGAAAGTACTTATTATTTGTTATTTAGCATTTTTACATTTTTAAGTTTGTTATTTAGTATCACAAATGCGATATAATTTTGTACATTGAATTTATCTGAAATCTATCAAATTAAATTTGTTCTCGATCCAGGAATCTCGTATTCTGTTTATACTTAAATTTTGATTTCCGAGTATGCGTTATTTTTTATTTCCAAGTACGATGAAATATTTTATATTTTCATTTTATAATAATTATATAATTTTGAAGAGCTTGGTCGAAACTTTGTGTAAGTAACAATTTGTAGGAATGCTTCGGCTCCCGAAGGCGAACCGTACTCTGATACAACCCCCGACACTCGGTATTCGACTACCTGCACTATTGTCCATGCGCGCATACCTGGCGAAGCTTTAAATTCCTCGCTTACCGCTGACCCTACAATTTTAAACATTTTCTGAGTAAACAACGATTCTCCTAATCCAGGTATAGCGCGTTATAAATTTCAGTGAGATTATGAAAATTCTGAAAGAAGCCCAAACCCCTATTTCGATTCAGGAAACAAGGGATGCATGGTAAAATTCGTGCTTTCAAACGCGCTACGGGCGTCGGATCGAAGGTGAACCGAAGCGATGAAACGACGGTCTTTGTATGCCGCTTATATTCTCGACGTAACGTAAAGAGGAAAAATGATAAAATTTTACATTTTCTTAGTATTTCGAGGCATAGCATTTTAACTCGTGATTCTAAAGTTTTGCAAAGATTCTCGGTAAGTTTCTTCGTTCTTGCTCTGCAGGAACAGCGACAATGGAAAGTTACCGATGCGCAAGCGCTCTCCACTTTCCCCGAGTACACCCGACTGGCTAGCAACTATAGAGTGCTTCGGTGGTAGTGATGCTGACATTGGTAGTGAGGCGTTCGCTATGGTACTTACGGGCTGGCCGGCGAAGCGAGATCTCACGATGATATACACGTATACCAATATCGCCCACCAACATCATCTCGCGACTGATTATACGCCAGCATTCTACCACACAGCGCGGCATGTGGTATGGCGGTATAGGCGTATGCCGCGCACAAAGAACGATCGTTCTCTCACATACGTAAAGAACGTAAGCAGACGAGCCCTCGCGCAAAATGCATGTATGTAGCAAAAGTTTCGAAGAAAACAGCCGTAAGTTTCCCCGTTGCTTACAATTTTGCACGACGGTCACGGACACCAGTGAGAAAAGAGCGGAGGAATGCAAAGCTAACGGCTTACGAGGACAAAGGATGAAGGTAGAATTGATTCGCGGGAATCGAAATTTCCTACATTCGAGTTTCGAATTTGTATTAACAACGGAAGAGGCAAAAATTCGAACGTTTTTCTAACAAATAAAACGCATTGACGAAATATTTAAAATGTCTATAAACGTGATTTTAACGACGTGCATCCGCGATCGAGTCTCGACTCGGCTATCGATAGAACGAGTATCGTTAGCTCGTAAGCGCGGAGGTATAGTTTATCGTCGCGTTTACAAAATTGTGAAATCGCTCGTTTCGCAACGGCACCGGCATCCGTCTCGTGATCTTCCTGTACAAGCATGAAAAAAGCGCTCCCTCCCTTCGCTGCTTTACAGTCGTCCAATCGTCATCCTTCCGGGAGTTTTCAAACCTCGCAGACTTTTTCAACGCGTTCGTGACACAAGGGTTGCGAGTCTGTCTCTTCGTATGCCCTTTCGTGCGTATGCGAGCCACTTCTGGCACACGCGTACTGGCAGCCGTGACGCGTCGCATACAAGTATCGGGCCCGTGTACAGGAACCCCGTCTCTACCCACACGGTTTAACCTTGCGGAGTGAGCGACGGCGTATCGCGCACGTAAAGGCCGACAGACACATCGGTGTCGATTTGTGTGCGGGGAACACGGTGTGTGCCAGCCGTGGTACGGCACCACTGGCGCGCCTCTACCCCGACTTTAGCATCGATTTCCAGTCGGACGACCCAGCGCGATCGAGCGAACGGTACGCGCCTTCGCGAGGAGGTATCGAGCGTCCGTGTCGCTCGTGGGAGTCCACGAAGTAGGGTCGTGCGAGAAATTGTACGGCTTGCCGTCGGAACGGCAAATATTTCAGTATGAAATCTATATAATAAAGGCGCGATCCGTGGCGTTCGTTCTTTCGTTTTATGTATTAGAAAAAGAAAGAGTGATCAGGGGTAACGGAAAGAGAAAAAGAGCGAGTGGGAGCAAAACGCGCGTAGAGGGGAGATAGGGTCGGCGCTTTAGTAGTGGTACCGAGTCCCGAGGGGGCAGGAGGAAAAGGGGACGAGCAGAAGGCAGCGAAGGCGCTGCCCTCAGTCGGTCGCTCGTTTCACTACAGTCAGCATACAGAGGAGAGCAAGCGATTGACTATACGTGGTCTTTGCCTAAGCGCGCACCGCTCCGTGTTCCCGTTTTTCGAGCGAAGGCTTCGAGCTTCGTTCTGCCCGCTCTTTCGCTCGGTCGGTCGTGAGTGCGCGCGCGCACACGCACACACTCCTTCGAAATAGACAGCGACAGAGCACCGAGAGAGGAGTCGTGCAGAGCCAGGCGCGCGTACACAGTCATCGAACGTGGTTATTCGTACGGAGGCGGACGTGTGATACAGCATAATCGAGGCCGTTTTTCGCGGGGGAAAAAGACAACGGCCGTACATCGCTGTCTTTGTTGTCTACTTGCCGTCATCGTCGTCGCGGTCGTCGATGAGATCGTCAATGAGGTTTAGCCGACGCTGGAGCGTGTTTCGTGCTGTATTAAAAGATATACGAACGATTACATGGAAACAGTCGGTACAGCGTGTCCTAAGAAACGGGAGGATCAGAGACGTTCGTGAGTAAATAGAGCGTAAAGGGGTACGTACCCTGCGGAACTCGTGTGTATAGTCTCGCGGCTGACGATCGAAGTACGCGAGAACCCGAGTGTATTCCGAGAGTTCCTTCGGAGATCGGTGCATACGTGCGTGTACGAAAACTAAGAGGTGGGGAGACCGTCTATACTTCGCGGACATCCGGCGGGGAATCCGCACGCATTCGTACGAAGCTCTCTCGGAGAGCGAGGGAAAAAAGGAGGAAGGATCTGGCGCCGAGGGAAACACGGTGATCTCGAAAGGAGAAAGGAGGTTCGTCGCGTTTCCATTGCTGTATCTTGTACATTCTCCTCTTTGTCGAGTCGAAAAGTTGGAGCACAAGTTGCTCTGCACACGTATTATTGTCATCGTTTCCTTCATCGGCCCGTATCGTTGATCCTCGTGCGTGCGTACCCGCACGCAACGGTTGAAATTTTCGGTACAAATAATAAGGGTGGTGGAAGGACGTGACGAGGAAAAGAGAGGGCAAGAGAGGGGAACGGGCACAGAAGAGAGAAGTCCGAAACACGCCGAGCAGTGCTGCTCCCTATTGGCGACGTCGAGTCGCGCTCCCCACCCGGGACAGTCGAACGAGGTCCGAAGGCGAGTTCTCGGCGTGTAACTACGGTGATTTTCCCTTACGAGAGTGTACGCACGAGACCTCGTAGCTCTGCACCACGTCCTGTACCGCGTAAACTTCTTCACCGTGCGTCCGACATCGTAGTAATTATCGTTGAAAAAACTTCGTCCTTGAAGCGTGAAGAATACCTTTCGAGGAAATCGAAAAACAGCCAGGCACAGAAAGAGACAGAACGAGAGTGAGAGAAAGGAACTGGCAGTGAGTCTGCTTTATATACGCGTGGTATCGTCGACGATCTTCCTCGCCAATAAACTGTGTGTGCGCCGATCGTGAACGCGTCCCACGCGTGTGTCGCGTATCACCGCCGCCGGTGAAACCGAGAGAATTCGAACGAGGCAGAGGGTAAAATAGGATTTCTCGCGTGGTCGGTCCTCTCCCGTGGCACGCACGGAGAGGGGTGCATCGAGGAGTGAGAGAAGGAGGAGAAGGAAAGTAAGCGAGACACTGATAGACGAAGATAGAAGAGGAAGAAGAGGGAGTGAGACAGAGACTCTTGAGGGGGAGTGACGGAGACGGGTATAGTGCACGGAGGCGCTGGTGCTGCGCCCCAATGGCCGTTCCTCGAAGCTCAGTTATCACAATGGCTTCCGTGAAAGACACAGCGACTTTCTTCGTGGAGGGCACTGCGAGTCAGTTCGAACACGTACTGAAGCTTTATCCGCAGGCCCTCAGACTCAAGGCCGATCGCAAAACGAAAAAACCCGAGGAGCTAATCAAGTTGGACAACTGGTAAGTTCAGAAATACCGTCCTGTATACCGTCGACATATTACGCCCGATACACGGGTCCTCCTTTTCAACGAGGGGCTTCCACCACGGGCACCACACGGGACAATGAACCCGTGGCGCGCCAGTTGCCATCACGTACTTACTTACCACCGCATGCTGTATGTGTACCCCTATGGCCCCCTCGCAAGACTAGCTACGATTCCAGATAGTATATTTACCCTCTCCTATTGCCGTGATCGACGACGGTCATGAAGAGCGGTCGCTTCGAAATACGTGGCTACCTCGTTTAAAGTATCCGCATAAAACTCGCGTCACGTGCTGACTCGATTAACTCTTGTCTTTCTTGACTCGTTCCTAATCTTCTACTTACCTTTATCGTCTCTTTCCAATTTTATTTCCAATTTTATATCATTTTTTAACACGATCGTATCGACCGATTTCCGTGGGAATTTTATGCCACCTCATCGAGGAAGTCTCGACGTTGCCGTTACGTACCGCGTACTATAGGCTCGTTTCTAGCGAGCTCTTTGATACACTGTCTGCAAATATTGTCGATAGAACTTTGAGATTTACGTAAAGACGGTAATGGGTCGTCTTGGCGGATTTTTCTGACATCTCGGTCGATAGCAAAGCGGATTTTCGAGCGACCGTCGCGTTGGCAACGATGCCAGTGAAAGAGGCGACTCGCCGGCGTCGCTTTCACGGCTCACACAACTACCTCGACTCGTTTGGATACGATTAACGAACCTTTCTCCACTCTTATTTTCGCAATTCTTTTTCAACGACGAACGATCCTCGTTCTACCTGTTTCGTCGCGAAAAAAGTGACAAATCGCGATTCCATACGTTTGAAAACTTCGTAAAAAATTAAGAAACCGCCATCGACGAGCTTTCGTCCGACGGGACAGTATTTCAACGATCGCAACGAAATTTTCCGTATTATTTCACATTACGTTAGCCGTCTCGTATTCACTGGTATCGAGAACGAAAGTACTCTCCATCCGCCATGACAATGCATGCATTATTATGTTTCGCTTAGCGATTGTAATCGTTATACGTTCGTGATATATGCTTGATATATTGAAATTAACTATTTTCTCTAGCTTCGATAAACGAGCTTTTAAACGAAGGCTTGATCTTATGCTCGACTAAATTTCTAAAAACGGCGAGTACAAAATGAAATTAAACAATTGTTCCGCATGATATTTTTTAAAAATTCAATTCGATTTAAATGAATACAAGGTAAAAGAGTTAATTAGATTTGGTACCTTGGATAATTGTTATTTTTTCGTCGCGATAACCTTCGAATTTAAAAAGAACGTGTTACGGGAGCCGCGGCGCCGCCGGTTAAAACGCGTTTATGGAGTCGCGGTGGATTTTGAAACACGAAACGATAAGTACGATTTATGTATCAAGCAGATTACGATTTTCCGGCTAACGGCGAGACTGAAGCCTGGTAAATTCCACGACATGGCGAAAATTCGAGCGAATGCTTGAATTGGAGATAGTTCCCGTGACGAGCGTTCACGACAACGATGTTTCCACGGCGCAAGCTTCAATTCCACTGGCGTCACGTTTGCCTTAATTAATTAAAGGCAGGTTCGAGTCTCGTTAAATTCCACGTTAAGCCTTTTTAGTCTCTCCGACGACGCCCGGAATCGGACAATAATAATGGAATCTTTTTCCCTTCCTGATCGCATTTTAACCGTTTAATTATTCATTCTTCGTTAGACGGAGGCAGAGCCTTCTCTCTGCTTTATTTTCGCAGACACAGTCGATCAGACTCCTCCACTTTATCCTTTGCAACGTATCCGTTGACTTTTCAATACGATTCTCCGATCGATCGGTTATTTAGTTTATTGTGCATTCACCGTAATCGAACGAACGATTGCGATAACCGTAATTATCGCGGTGGAATGCTTTCAGAGAACGTACATTCGTCTCTGTATCAAGGATCGGAACAAGGATTTTATTGAGATTTCAAACAACACGAAAGATTTTCGTACGGGAATTTACGGGGAAAACCAGATACAAGGTATTCGATCGAGCGCGCAACATTTGTCGAGATACTTTTTTAAATTCTGTTTCGTTACGACTTCAGTGAATTTGCATATTTTTTTTCATCGGATTTTTTATCGTAGGATGTTGTAGAGTGATTTTCTTTGCCCGTCGGAGGTGGAAAGAACCGTTGTTTTCGTTCCCAGCGATCCTTGTTTACGTCAAGGCCACTTTTCCACGGCGTCAACTGCCGCCATGTCATCAATATCTGCTTTGTGCAACGTTCTTGCAGAACTTTCCTGCTACTATTTCTTAATGTTCCAAATTTTTTTTGTATTCGATACTCACGATTTACAACAGTCAATATTAAATCTAAAGAAATTTGATCTCATTATTAGTATCCTTGTCTTCCCATTTTTGTAATACTATCGCTAAAATATAGTATACAAAATCAGCGCATTTTCTTTGAAGAGGTACCATATTGGGAATTGTTTATTCATACTATTCATTGTGATTAGAAGAGGTTTATTAGTTTTTCTTAATATTAAAAAATCACTTTCTTTGAAAAGGTGCCATATTGGAAATTGTCTATTCATAGCATTCGTTGTGATTAGAAGAGGTTTATTAGTTTTTCTTAATTTTAAAAAATCACATTGAAAACGGACGGTTACAGTAGAATATCCCGGTTTGTGATCTACTTTCTGCTTGCAATATTTAAAATTTGGTGTTTATGGGATAGTTTTTATACGAAATAGTATTTCAGTGTAGGAATTGTAGAAGTTCTCGAATATCCTCGATATAATGCTGTGCAATTACGCTTCGTGACTGGCCCACGAATTTTTTTTAGATGTTTTTGCGTGTGTCCCACGGTCGTTTCTCTTTCGATCGTTTATTTTTCTGATGCTGTAATGCACGGTTGTGTAACACCATGTGTTTCGTAGTGGCGGATGGTGGTCTTACCTCGGTGACCGTTTTTCCTGTTGCAACGAACCACAGAAACTTCCAATATATCAACAACTCTCTTAAAACTAGACTCGAACGCGTTTCGAACACTCTTTGCCTTTCGTTTGCAAATCAAATAACGGTTTGAATCGTTTGAGTTTCGAGTGTGTGTGTGTGTTGTGGTAAGTGAAAGTGTGATGCGACTAATATTTTATACGAGACGATATTAATAAATTGCGCTATCTTTAATAATAAATTCTTCCTATAATTCACTAATCTTCAAAGTTTCATGTTTCTAAGTATTTTATTTATTTTTTTTTACGCGTGTTTTCGAAAAATAAATTCTTAAACGTACGAAAGTTTCAATCGCTTAATGACAATCATGTAAATTTAATAGCGTGTCGTTTGAATTCCAGTGCCCTTGACTCGGTTTTTTATTCTTCCGTTTATTTTGTTTTTATTAAAACACTCCTTCCCTGTACGCCAACGTTTCTACAAAATAGTATACAATATTTAGAATATAAAATAACGAGAAGTGGAAAAGAATTAACGATACAATTTCGCGCTGTTGTTTGTTATATCTTAAATGCATGAAAAGCATAAATACTTTACGCATCAGGAATATTTTATGAATCCAGGTTTCATATAATTACACCTTTTTATTGTGGAGGCGTAATGGAAAGGCCACCCTCCTGGTTCATATTTAAAAAGAAATTGATTCATTGAATATGTATTTATACAAAATATCACACCTGTGTCGAGTGTGCGTGCAAATATAATGCACAATCGTACGGAAATTTATTATTAATTTTTTCCACCTCTCGATATTTTCCCAATAAAGAAAATTAAAATATTGTATAGTATTTTGTGGAAATGTATTAGTCGCATAGTTCGTAAATAATTTGATGTTCCTATGAATTTGGTATTAGAATATTTTATGAAATTCCAACGATATACAAATAAGCACGAAATTATTTGCTGGATATTATCGATAGCTGGGACCTCATAGAATATTCTAATACCAAAATTATTAGAGTATTAAATTATTTAGTAACAGTATGACCGATGAATGTGCGTCGTGGATGTTCCACGACATTAAATCAATTTTTCGTATAGTTACAAAACAATTTTTCAAAAATTTGTTCAGTCTATCTTAGCTTATCTTTCGTATAGGGGGCTTATACAGGCTGTTCGGCCATCTCTGGGCAAAATTGTAATGGGGAATTTTAGAGGCCAAAATAAGACGAAAATCAAGAATACCAATTTGTTGATGGAGGCTTTGTTAAAAAGTTATTAACGTTTAAAGTTCCGCCTGTACTAAATTTTTTTCTCGTAAATGCGCAGGAATTCGGGGGTATGTCTATTCCCAAAAATGATTGTAATTGACCCCCGCAACCGAAAATAATTTTTCCAGAACGATTTAAAATATTTTTTTTCGGTCGAAAAATTTCACATCTTCTCGATTTAATTTCTAGAAAATGGGTAGGATTTCGGGGGTATGTCTATTCACCAAAAATGATTGTAATTGACCCCCCAAAACGAAAATAATTTTTCCAGAACGATTTGAAATTTTTGAATTTAATTGTTAATAACTTTTTAACGAAGTTTCCATGAACAAATTGGCATTCTTGATTTTCGTCTTATTTTGCCCTCTAGAATCCCTCATTAAAATTTTTCCCAGGGGTGGCCAAACACCCTGTAGTTTCAAAGGTTTAACGAACATAGTTCAGTTTTTATTAAATTCCCCAAATATGGTATGTAAATGTTTTAAATATTTTGGCAGTCATAGCCGATACTCGGGGATTAAAATTTTTCCCCCCCTTAAAAATTGATTTCTCGAAAACGGAAAAGGTACGTTTCTTGTTACTTCTTAAGGTCCATTATTAAAAAATAATGGACAACTCTGAGTACAATTCACGACTTCCTCCTGTGAGAAAGAACCAGTGTCTCACGATGAGGAATAAATGATTCTTGTCGATCCAACAGATAAACTGATTGTAATTGTTCGTGTAAACGATTCTGCTTTGCGCGTAACCTTTACGTACGGTGTCTTATGTATGCGTTTAGATCCCGTATTATTCTTCGCAGCGAGCGTGTAATTACGTGTGAAAAATTTTATATATATTTTTTATCAGTGACAAATTAAGGGAACGCGCGAAATTGTCTTTTCGTTTCTTCGATTATTCGAACAGATCCTATTTTACTGTGTTATGGGAAACGCTTATCTCGTCTCGTCTCGAATTCGCTTTGCTTGAGCATTCGACCTTGAACGAAGAATTTCTTCGTAACCCGACCCGAAGAAATCGTGCTGGATGATTAAAACACGATTCCCATGCTATTCACGCTAAATGGTGCACAGCTTCAGGTTCGTGGAAACATTTTTGCTGATTCACGAGTCCGTTAAAGCGATGAAAACATTCGGGTCAAACGGCTGGCAATCGAATATCGACTTTCGTCGACACGGTCATCGTTCGTCGTTCTTCGCCCATCGAGATCGCGATAAATTTGTCACGATTTTGCCGTCTTCTCAACGTTTCCGCATCCGTGATGACTTTCAAGTCCATTTTCCTCGTAACGCGCCGACCGCCATACTAGTTTTCCCTGTCTAGGGATATCCTTGACATTTTTTATTCAATCGTACCACGTGTTCGTATTTATGTAAAAAATATAACGTATCTAATGGACGAATTTAATGATCTTATGGTTCGTGCTTTGTTTGCTTATGCAAACGGACGGTAAAAAAATCGTCGTTGTCGCGTGCATCTGACGTTGGTCCCTTGCGCGAATCGGTGCATCATACACATGCGACATCTGGTGGAAAATCTGTTAAGAGTGAGTGAATATAGTTCTCTGGTAAACGGGACGTATGTTACGAATGTTCGAAATTTATTTTATTGTCATCAGTACGATATAAAGTATAGGTTTAGAACTTTCAAGTTATATTTGTATTTTGAAACTGTCGAAATTCAAGTGAATGATAATTGGTATAATTAATTCGCTTATTTTTGTTAGTGTAATTAAAGAGAAATTAATGTGTTCAGGTTCTTTGACTGTAAGCTGTTTCAAACCATCTCACACTATACGTATTGTGCTCTGCCTTGTGATGTAATGCATATTACGGAAACGAGACAGTTTATTTACGTACGTCTATATATAAACGTATTTGTATATATTTATACAAACGTAGATTATTGATCACCTAAAAATTATCGGCTCCGCTTAACGCACCAATTCATCCGTATGCGTGACTTGATAATCTAATGACGTCAAGATGTACATAGTGTTTAAATAGAAATATCAGCGTTATTCAAATAAGCCAAATATATAAATACTTTCTTCCCTGAATATTAGTCTTCTAATAATCTAATAATTATATTCGTATGCTGAAATATACAGACAATAATATTCGAATAATAACGTTCGAATTATAAAACATTCGAATAGTCCCACGCGTAAAAGTCACGCCGTCGCTAGTCAGTCAGGCATATTTTCGAGTCGGCGTTGAGCAACACGAACGTGTTTCAAAACGCGATGAAAACAGTTCGGGAATATCACTTTTTTGCGCGACGAGAGTCTAGTCCTAGTTTACTTATAATTCACGATATCGTCGGTTTCAAAGGTGCCAGAAGAAGTAGAAAAGAAGCATAGGGACGGGGAAGGAGAAAATGGAGAACCGTCGTAAAAACGACGTGGAAAAATAAGCCTCGTAGAGCTCTCGCGAGACATAATCCTCTCGTGTCGAGGTGCGCGCTGCGATTGTGTCAAGGTTGCTTTTGCGTTGCGTGGCGCGAAGCAGCGCGAGCGCCTCTTAAAATGGTTGCGTGCGAGCAACCGTCCTGAAAAGGTTTCAACGTTGCTCAAAAGAAGGCGCGCTCAAAAGAAACACACCGTTGTGCCACTCGAACGATTGTTTTTGGACTTTCTATGGGACAATCGCGCTGAATAACGATGCGATTCGCGACCTTCTCGCCTCTACAGTCCTTTCGCGTCGCGAAATCGCATAACAGAACGCACAGTGGACCAGAATCCACCTCTATCGTTACGAAAATAATTTATTCGTTTCGGTAGTTGACTTTATGGAATATTATATATCGCTATCATGATGATAAATGAACAAAAACAAATATTTATATTATGATAAGCTACCAAACATTTCGGAATGTCTATAAAATTAATGAAATGATGGAAATGTATGGAGAATAAAGAGAACTGAATCAAAATAAATTTGCAAAAAAAAGTATATTAAAGAAAACAGTGTAGGAGATTATAATTTTATGGTGCAGCTTTTTCTTTCGACCGGTTTAATAGGATTTTCAAATTTTTATAAATGGACACTTTGTATATTCTTTAATTTCGACGATACATAATTTATAACCTAACATTTTTCAATATGCGCTTTCAATGATAAATCGAACGTGCTCTGTAAATAATTACTATAAAAAAAAAAAATTTATAACGCCGATTTGCCGGTAACGCGTCGATCCGAAGACAAGAATGAGTGGTCGTAAATCAGAGAACACGTGTCCAAGCGTCACATTATGTGAATGAAATACAAACTAGTCGCAACTAAGTTTAGCTCTTCGGCCAAACAGCTGATCCGAACGTCCTTCGAAAGTACCTACAACAAAACCACGCGAGACTGCATCTTCCTCCCTCTCTTTCTCTCTCGTGGCTCGTTTCTGTTCACGGATCCAGTCTTCGTTCCATGAAACAGAGAACTTGTCCCATGTCGATGACCCGAATAATGGGAGACAAAGAGGGAGGGAGGAGAAAAAAGGAAACGCTACCTGATCCGAGTCGTTTCGAGTAAACGAAACCGAGGTTCTTAAAACAAACGTACTCCGGTCGAAATGAATTCTCGAATCTACTCTTCGATGATGCGACACGGCTCTTTAAATCTTGCACTACCAACTGCAAAGTAGGGTTAGGATCTCGTGTCGTGTAATCGAAAACTTTGGAGGTGCAAATATAAGTGACAATTTGTTAAAACAATTTATTAAAATATTCATCGAATACTATTTGAATACTATTGTTTTGAATTTTATGTTAGAAATATTTCCTTTTAGACATTTACTGATTTCTCCGATGTTTCAAAAGGCGACTACTGAACGGTATAATTTATAGACAATTAAAATCACGTTTCACTTACAACGGGAAAAGTTTAATTTAATGATACGTACCATTTGTTATTATTTAATTTATCGTCTAAGCTAAATAAATCGACCAGTGAAACGCAATACACAAAATTTAATAAAATAAAGTTTATTTACTTGTTTTGTTTGAAATCTCGTAATTATTTCTTGTTTGAAATTTTCATTACAAATCACTGGTGTTTATCGATTAATATTATGTCTAGTTATCGATTTCTGTATTAAAATAATTTTAGCAAAGCAAGTAGTGGATGGATACCATGTTTGATCAAGTTTGAGAAGGTCTAACATAAATGATACATCGACGTTATTTCTCATTAATAAATTAATGGAATTAACGGTGGATTACAAAATGGAGATTTAAGGTGGATGACATGTTTGATGGAGTTTGAGAAGGTTTAACATAAATGATACATCTTCGAATTTAGCAGTTATTTCTCACTAATAAATTAATAGAATTAACGATGGATTAAAAAACGGAGATTTAGAGTGGATGACATGTTTGATGGAGTTTGAGAAAGTTTAACATGAATGATACAGCTTCGTATTTAGTAGTTATTTCCCACTAATTAATTCAGGATTGATGAATGATAGAAATGATTAATAACGATGAATAGTATGTATGACAAGGTTTGAAACGTGCAAATATAGAGATTACATCCTCGATTTGGCAGTTACTATTCCCTAATAAATTAACAGAATTAACGATTAAAAAATGAAGATTTTGGGTGGATGACATGTTTGATAGGGTGTGGAAAGTCCAACATTGGAGAACACGTCCCCGATTTGGCTCGTGTTCCCAGCGTCGTGTCGGGGCGTCCCGCATGATTGTCAGTAGGTGGAAAACCACTTCTTGCGCCTGCATTTTTAATCAGTATTCTGTTTCCTGCACTCTGCTCTCCCGCGGTTGCGTCATCGATCCGAGTAGCCGTGATCTTGCGCACCCTGCGCATACACGATCCCGTCGCTGACCGTCCGACAACTTTTTCTGCTCGCAGGTATCAGAATGAGCTTCCAAAGAAGATCAAGTCACGCGGCAAGGACGCGCATCTCATCCACGAGGAGCTGGTGCAAACGATGAAATGGAAGCAAACAGTGAGTGAATCGAACTGCGCTCTCTTATTTTTACATTCACTCTGACACGGGTAAATATAAATCTTTCAAGGGAATTGCTTCACGAGATCTTTCTCTTCGCTATTACTTAGATATCATAAATGACGTTAATCCTCGCTTTTTAGAGATCTTTGTAATAAACTGCGAAATTACGAGATCCGTTTTTTTAATTACATTCAGATCAAAATATATCGAATTTAACTTCTCTTTGACTGTAATTACTTTGTGTAATATAATGCGAAGCTGCATAAGATAGTAACTTTCCTAATAAATTGCAAACTCGAAAGAAATCAATTTCACAGAACCAAATTGAAAATGGCGACCAAATTTCATGTCTGGTGCACGGTAGTCGATGTTTTAACACGATAATTTTTTTTCTGCAATTCGAAATATTTATCAAACACGGAAGTTATTTCATAAGTAGGCGATCCTGGAATTGTTTTTTATTTTTCGTGAGAACGAGGCCGTTTCGTTTAACCGTGTTTGTTCTGCTTTGTTATTTGTAGCGTGGAAAGTTTTACCCCCAGCTGAACTACTTGGTAAAAGTGAACACACCCCGTGCAGTAATGGCGGAGACGAAAAAAGCATTCAAAAAGCTTCCAAATCTTGAACAGGCGATCACTGCCCTCTCGAATTTGAAAGGAGTAGGCACCACGATGGCATCGGCCCTATTGGCAGCAGCGTCGCCAGAGAATGCGCCTTTTATGGCGGACGAATGCCTGATGGCAATACCGGGAATCGAGGGCATCGATTATACCATCAAGGAGTACCTCAACTTTGTCCAGCACATTCAAAATACTGTCGAGAGGCTGAACAAACAAAGTGAGTGCCTTTGTCGATTCGTCAATTACTGCCAGAAGATCAATTTCCAAACAAGATTCCATGTGTTTTATTCTTGAAATAAAAAGAAAGCTTGTAACACTTTGTCACGACGCTTCGAAACATACCGTGTTGCCCCGATTGCCTAACGCGAGGTTAAAGGGAGGTTTAAAAGATACTTTCTTTTTATTATTATAGCAAATAACTAGTCCCGAACTTCGAAGAAGTTACCTGACACTGCACTCTCGAATTTTAACGATTTCAACAGATAGATTTTATTATGATCTTCCTGTAATAAAATGAAATCAGTGGGCACAGCTTGTTACTGGTATCAAAGGGGTTAATGTTAAAGTTACGGTTTCTCTTTTCTCCGCTGCAGTATGACTTGATTGATCACAAAAGAGCACAGCTGGGCCGGTGAGGCGTTAAATTGATCCTACGGATTCGAAACTAGTTGTTTACATACAGTGGATCAAACAAGTATTGGCACTTTGTTGAAGTATTTTATTAACATCATGTATATCATTTTATGTCTTTTAACATAAACTACTTCTATACTGAAGCATATTACTCAATATCAATAACAACGGAAATTATAAAGAAATAACGAAAATTGCATAGTCCAAAAAGTATTGGCACGCGTAGAAAACAAAAAGTAAATGCTTAGTCTTTAACATTAATACAAACTAAATAGATTTTTAATATTTTGTATGCATTCATTTCGCTTTAATAATACCCTCCAATCGAGTTGGCATCGATTCCACAAGTTTTCGGGTAGTTGTGGTGGAATATTTGCCCATTCTTCTAATACGCCTTTTTTAAATCATTCTTATTTGAAATTTTTCTTTTACGAATTTTTAAATCTAAAATGTACCATCAATTTTCAATAGGATTTACATCCAGCGATTGAGGAGGTGTTTGAAATTGTTTTGGCACATTGTACAGGAGCCATTCCCTCGTTTTTCTTGCCGTGTGCTTCGGATCATTATCCTGTTGGAATACAAATGTTCTTTCGATGCCGAATTTTGCAGCACTTGGTAATAAATTATCTCGCAATATGTCGGTATACTTTAAAGCATTCATATTTCCTTCGATAAAAGCCAAATTTCCCACTCCATTGTATGACATGCAACACCAAACCATTACATGTCCGCCACCGTGCTTAACCGTTGGTTGAATATTTCGCGACTCCAGTTCACTGTTGGATCTCCTCCACACATATTTCTTTCCATCAGATCCGAATATGTTGAACTTACTTTCATCAGAAAATATTACATTTTTCCAAAATTCAGTATCCTCGTTTATGTGCACTTCTGCAAATCCAAGCCGTCTCTGTTTATTGGCATCGTTTATGAACGGCTTCTTTCTCGAGGTTCTACCGTAAATATGAGCCGAATGGAAAACCTTTCGGATTGTTTGTGAACTAACTGTCTTCCTCCACTGTGTTGCGACATAAACAGATAAACTGAGAGCACTCACAAATGGGTTTCTTCTGACTTCTTTAACAATGTCGCGTCGCTCCCTCACTGTTAAAACTTTCGGTCGGCCTGATCGCGGTCTGTTTTCTGTTGTGGCAAACTCCTCATTTCTAACCGTAGAGAAACTAATTTTTAAGAAATCTCCGATTTTACGATAACTTTTGCCCCGTTTACGAAGAAAGATAATTTCGCTTCGTACTGCAATCGACAGCTCTTTTGTTTTTTCAACCATCCTTCCTGTATGAGACGAATACTGAAATTAAATACCTCTATCGAACAGAGAGTCCAATGTTATATACATATTTGTTTACATTTGCGTCCTTGAAATCGTGTAAGAAGTGTCCTAAAGGAAGAAACTATAGAGCTACAATTGCAGACATGTCTGTGCCAATACTTTCTTGACGATAAATTTTTCGCTATTTCTTTATAATTTCCGTTGTTATTGATATTGAGTAATGTGCTTCGGTATAGAAGTAGTGTATGTTAAAAGACATAAAATGATATACATGATGTTGATAAAATACTTCAACAAACAAAGATATTTATAAAAATTTGAGTGTGCCAATACTTGTTTGATCCACTGTAGTCAGTAATGTATGCGAGAAGAATATTGTATGTTTAAAAAATGTCTTCAGTTGGATTCGTGCCTGAGATAAAAAGAAGACCATCGACGCTTTATCGACCCAGTTACGCTAGCCCGTGGCCATTCAAACCATAAATTTAACATTAAATATCTCGTAAACTATTAACCGTCTGCTCCCAAAACCGGGTACCATTAGCTTCAATATTTCAAGCCCTATCATTGTGTAAAAGCTCATCAAAGAGTCAACGTTACGCTTTGGAACCTCTCCTTGTATCACCTCTAATAAGGAAACCTCGTCGCGTCGGTGATATTTTTATAAAGATATAATGAAATTTTCTAAGGCTTTCACCGGGTTCCTATAATTCTTAATATTTTTATGCAAAGAAAAATGATGAATACTCTTGAAACATAGAGCTAAACAAAAACACCCTCCTCAAGAAAAGAAAAAAAATTTGTTTCAAATGTTCATACTAGAATACTCCCTTAACCCTTTGACTATGAAAAGCACCTATCATTGATCAGTTGACTGTGTGTGCTAAACGCCTACGAGCGTTCAACGCACGTGTCAAACGTAGTCGAAGGGTTAAACGACCGAAATGATAAACGGTGTCTAAACGGTGGTCGTTCGATCGGTTCGTTTCAGCGTCGAACAGCAAGACATGGAGCCCTCACAGGGTGGAACTGGCGCTGTGGACCCACTACGTGGCGTCCGAGATGAAACCGGAGTTACTGGACGGGATCCCGGGTTCGACGGAGAACGGTAACTCTCATCCGCCCAGCAACGGCGAGGCGACGGAACCATCGGACGACAGCAATCAAGAAGTGGCGGTGAACGGAAAGGAGCCGGGTAGTATTGATCCGGCGGCCATCGACGAGAACAGCACCACCACGTCCTTCACCGAGGACTCGATGGACAAACCGGCCACGCCGATCACGGTCGCCGTGGCCAGCGAAGACACCAACGACTCCCTCGCCACGAACGAGAACGACGACAGCAACAACACGCCGCGACCAACCGATAGTGAGGACACCGAGGACTCGCAAGACGCGCAGGAGCCGCCCACCAAGAAGAGCAAGAAGTGACCCACCACCACCCAGGGAGTCACGAATACGAGCAACAACGTCACCGCCCTCGTGTCGGCCGCCAATCTAACGCTGATCGCGGCGAGGCGCTTCTAAAAACCGCCAGGATCACCGATCAGGGTCGCGGATAGTAGACCTTGCGTAGCTACCATCGGCACCATCACGATCGTTTTTCATTATTCTCCCTTCGCTGCAGCTCTCTTTCTCTCTCTATGTCTCTTCTCTCCCTTGGTACTCTCTCACTTTGATCTCTCCGTTTTATCAGCTAGTTGTCTCTCCTGAAGCTTCTACTCGTCATTCTGTTTCCTTGTATCCCGTTTCCGCCTTGTTTCCTTTTCCTCCGTTCTCTCTCGCAGGGTCATCTCTCCTATCCCCCACCGGAGACTTCGTGCAACAATAGCATTCACCACGCGCACACGATGGGCTGTTACGCGAGCACCATGCTGGTTTTTAGATTCATTGGGGCTCGATCGCGGAGGCAGAACGAAGCTGCGAAAGCTCACGGTTTCGAAGATCGCGCGCGAGCCCCTTCGTGCCGTCATTTTTTCGTTTCTGTTGTTTCCCGTTCGTTCGGTGTTTTCGACGAATTCAGTTTCGAGACTGGACCGGTTCCTCTTCGGGTTTTCTTCCCCGGCGCAGCGCGACGATTCTTGCTGGGGATCGAACTAGTGTTTTAAACCACGGTACACCAAGCATTCGATAGGCGAATTCTCTTCCCTTTTATTCGTTTTCTCTTTTTTTTTTTTCTTTTAAAGGGCTTGACAGAGGGAAAACTCGACCCGTCGGAGCTTTTTCGCTTTTTCTGCCGCGGCGTAGCGCTTAGGAAGTACACCGAATATATATACTTGTATATTCTCTGTTCTTTTTTGTTTCTATGTTTTTTTTTTCATCTTTTTCTTCTTGGTTCGTCCGAACGAAGCGATTCTCGATACTGCCTTTTTCAGCCCCCCCCCCTCGGTTCCCCATTTTCAGCTTTTTTCACACGGTAGCGTACGACTTGTAGCCCTTATCGAATAGAATGATCATTCCTTTTTACCATGATTTGTACCGCGTGTTCATGGCTGCCGACGATGTACGAGACGCGTGAAACCGAACACGTTGACGCGCTTTTTCGAATATATATATATATATGTTTGTATATATACGATACATGCATATGTATAAATATATATTTGCGAGTGGTATGCAAAGTGAGAATGACACAGGACAAGGAAAGAACGTGTGGAAAAGAACGAACGAACGAACGTAAAATCGGGTGTGTGAGAGAGAGATCGAGTATCTGATTATGCGACCAGCAAGAAAAATAACGGGCGGTACACCGAACACACAATGATAATATTAATATTAATAATAATAATTATTATTATAATTATAATACAGAATCATTACCATAATTTATATACCTAAACGAAACTGCATGTCAGAGCGATGCATGAAGCAAAACCAAATACCTTGTAAGTAAAAGAAACTTTAGAAACAAATAAAAGTAACGCTTTTTTGAGTCCACCAAGAACGAGAAAACGAGTGGCAGTGGCGGGCACACCTAAACGACAAAACGTACGAGGTACGTTTATCACCATCACCGTGTCAGGGGTTTTCATGTACAGGGATGTAACTAGTATTTTTGCATTAATCAATGGTTATTGTATTAATCGTCGAGGAAATGCGAGGAACCTCGTTGAAGAAGTAGAAGACGACGTCGAAGAAGAGACAAACTAACCGAATACGGCAATATAGAGGTATAACGATGCAAACTGTTGATGTGATTGACAAAGAAGAAAAGAGAGGTTGAGGGAGAATGCGAGCGTGCAAGATTGCGTATGTTTCTGAAAAAGAGTGAAAGAGAGAGAGCGCAAGATATACGGAAAGAAAGAAAAAAAATAAACCACTATAGCTTGATCAAGAACGTTCATTCAAATTTTATAAATATACATATTATATAAAATATATATATTTGTAATTTAGAACACCGTGCGGCCAGGAGGCTGCTTTAGTACTGACCCTATTATTAAACGACACACACGCCGGCGAAGACAGCCGTGCTCGTTTTATTGCACGAAAAAAAAAAAAATCGAAGGTAACCGGAAGGAGAAACTTCCGAAACGCGAACCGTTTCGAACGTTCCTTGTGTGCAGTGATGCCTGGCGAGAAGGACTACTGAGAATTTCTTCTCCGATTGGTAGTGGGAAGGGAAAAATAGTACACAGTACCAACCGGCGACACGAATGACGACCCCTCGTGAAAACGAGGAGGGACTTAAGGGGGCCTCCTAGTAAAAATCAATTTTTCTCGAAAATATGTCTGCAAAACCATTTGACTGAATTGATAAAAATAACAGAGTTACCCGGTTAGATAATATTAATGATGACGTAAACGTTGATAGAAGGTTACGAAAAAAACATTGAAGAATGAGTACAAAAGAGTAAGATGTAAGAATCACCATGAAAAATAGAATATAGTTACAAAACTACAAAATGGATAATGCATAATGTGTATATAATTTTAAACGGATTATGAAACGTCAAATTATATATAAATAAAAATTAGGATGCACTTCAATAATCATTTTCACTCGTGTCTTCGCACTCTTTACTAACATCAAGTTTGCAATTTACCTTTTTCGACAAAATAGTCATATTTAATTTATTTAATTGAGCCATTCGCTGGGACTACTTGGACACAAATATAAATGTTTTATCAAAGAGAGGTAAATTGTAGACACTAATGGCCATAGAAAACTTACCATGTTTCAAATAAAAAGGAGAACTTATAATATTAAAAAAATTATTAATTGAAGCTTCAGAAGCAATGATTTATCGTATGAGAATTGTCTAAATTTGTAAATTTTTACAGAAAAGCTTTCGTGTAAGCACTTTCAAGATTGTCAATAAATGATAACATAATTCAATCTTGGAATTTTCTATGCCCAAGTGTCACGTATGCATATGTATTATTGATTTTATATTTTTGCAAATGAACTCTATTTTTATACTCGTTCGTCGATGCTTGTTTCGTATCTTTCTATCAACGTTCACGTCATCGATAATATTATATAAATCGAACACGAAGAAACGGAACCCGATGTTAAAAATTCCCACTGTTTTCCATCTCTCGTTCCCAATCGCAATCGGAGAAGTAAGTCCCAATTCTTCCAGTCTCATGGTCCCCTTTTTCCCCCGTCGAGGAACACAGACAGACAGTCTGACCGAATCGCTGTAACAGAACGACGTTTTCGGTGGTTCACGGGCACTCGGAAATAGAAGGACTAGAAACGCCAGCAATTATGGACGAACCTATTAAAAACCGTAGCGAACCGTTCTATTTATTTAGCGCCTAATTTATTCCGTTATCGATCGTTTCGTTAGCAAAGAAAGAAGATACATAAATATATTATATTATACACGTGCGTGCGTTTCGGAGGGCGTTGAGGATTTCGCGTTTCAGGATCACGATGAACGGAGGACACAAAATGTGCGATACGACGCCGAATAGAAAATAAAAAAAAAAAAAACTTAACGATTTAAATCGACGACGACGACGAACTTGGAATCGATACACGTGTTTGCGAAATACGACGACGATCTACGTCGACGTGGATGATTATGATTATTATTATATTATTGCTGCCGCTCTCGCTATTATTACGAATTACGGCGAGAGCGAGCATAGTTTTTATTGTCTTATAAACGTAACAGATTTAATGTAGCCGAAGTTGTTATTTATTTTTCTCTCTTCTAACGCCTGGTAAATTATAACTCTCACGATTAATCCCTCCGAGTACCGGACATCGCGGCCTGTGCCGGAGTCATTTCTGGCTCACGCTGACATTTCACTAATGCGGATATTCTCTTGCTTGAAACTCGAGCACCTCCGTGTTTCGCGTACATACGTCTTCCTTCGACGAAACGTTGTAAAGGAACACGTCCACTTGAAAACACTTGTAAACAAGTAAAGAAGACACTATGTTTTTTCCCCCCCCTCTTTTCTGTCTGTCTGTCTTGCTCGCGAACCTGTAGCTGAAATTAACCCAGCTGATCGGACCATCGGTCGAAAGGAGAAAGGAGAAAAGGACAACAAGTGAAAAACAAAGAGGCCCGTGAAAAAAAAAAACAGTAATCCCATCGATCGGGGCAGTAAACGCAACACGTAGGTATATACGTAAACAATTATCTTTGTCACAACAGCGGGACTTGGCGCGTGTGCCGATGAAAGTGACGAGTCAACGGTGACTCCGGCACAGTACTCGGAGGGTTAGTTTCTCGTTTAGCTTTATTTTTCTACCGTAACACCACGCCTGGGAGGGAGAGTGAACCGCGGATGAACAAACACACACAATCTCACGTGGACAGAAATAATCTATATCGATGCATTCTTTCTCTTTCTCTCACACTCTTTTTCATACACCCGACGCGACAAGAAGACGAGACTGAGGGAAAAACACGAACACCTCGGCAAAACTGGATCAACCAGCAAGCAAAATAAGCACGTGCTTAGGGCATTTAGGAAAGTGGACGCCATATTGTTTTTTTCAGAACTGCCTCTCGGGGTCCAAACGATGCAAGGCCCGCTAAAACAATCAAATATAGTATCGAAGAGGCCAACGATTTTTAACTTTAGAAGTTAGTTTCGAAAATAATTTGAAAGTAATCTGAAAGTAATTTTTATCTACTGCAATGAGAAGGACTTTCGTCTCGTATTTAGCGGTTATTGAGCATTACTAAATTGCGGTAACCAAGCTGTTCAAACAATTGCTGGCTGCAGACAAATAATTTATTTAATTGTCTTCAAAAAAGAACCCATTTTTTTTTTACACGTCCTAATGTAATTTGAAATATGAACACTTTGATTTAAAATAAGGAATGAAATACGAGAGTATTGTCGGAGCTGGCGTTCTCTCTGCGCGGAAAAAATTGAGTAACATACAACCGGGGATTACCGTAGTTAAACGGAAGCAACAATTTAAATACCAGACGTCCTGGAATCGTATTTATCGACGTTCGCGTCGCATATGTTCGCGCTGTTATTAATGCGAGCACGATGCCCGACAATAATTAATTGGGTATCGCTCGTATCCACGACCATCAGTTTTGGTCGATTAAACTCTCGAAATGTTAATACCTCGCAGCACACTTCGAGGAACAAACAAAAAAGTAGTTTGTATCGACACAGCGACGATGTTAACGCGAGATGTTAAATCGATCAGCGTGTGTACCGTCCATACCGAGAAGAAGCTGGACGACAAAGGTTCACAAAGTGTTAACGATCGATGATCGATGGGGATCATCTCTATTACTGCCATTTATTGTTACCGATAAGCAATCCCGAGAATCACCGTCTGTGATTAACCTCCCCGAAAACGTGACGAAACAAAGTTTAAAAACGAAGACAAAGAAATACGCGAGAACGACGAAATTAAAAATGCGTGACGATCCTTGGTGAGTGTGTTAAAAAGGCGTAAACGTTATTAACCAGCCTACGCTGTTTCAAAGTTGAGCTATCGTACGAGAATCGTGTAATTTGTAAAAA